TGAGTTCCTGCTTCAGTTCTTTTTGATGTATACCTAGGAGTGGAATTGATGGATCATATGGTTAATTCTATGTTTAACTTTCTGAGGATTGCTGGTAGGCTGGTTTTGAATTCTATAGGTCAATGGGCAGATTAGACTCTTGCTTGGGGCCCTGACCAATATCTTGAATTTTTAACCAATCTACAGTCAATCCCCAAGTCTCCTCTTAGCTAATAGTTAAACTTCCTCTCTCTGCAACAGTTCTCCTTCCACAGAGTTGCTTAAGCTGAACAGATCTGAAGAGGAAATCAATGACCTGGAAAATTCACAGCTAGGACAGTTTAGAATAAGTTGTCTATGCAGTGAACAGAGATTTTTCACATCTTCTTTTTTTTGGTAAGTCCAGTTGTTTCGTGTGTGTGTGTGTGAGGTGGGATGAGGATCAAATTAAAAACAAACAAAAAAATCTTGAATGAAAACAAACCAAAACCTTGCCAAGTGCAAATTAAAAAAAAATTTATGGAAGGAGAGCAAGTCAGAGGGGAGTTTGGAATGTAAAAACGTAGGCAGGGTTAGGTTATAGTTATAATTTAGCTTCCTTAATGTTGAAACTGACAGATTCAGTAATTAAAATTTGACTTTATCTCTTTCAGTGTTTAATGGTGCTTTAACACTAGCAGTTAAGTATTTCACAATGGACAATGCTTATTCATGAAAAAACAAATATTTCCCCTAGCTGAAAGTGGCCAGGATTTGCATTCATGTCTCCATACTCCTTTCTCGAATCAGGTATCAGATGTCAGCAAACGACCTACTTAAAACGATGTTGACATATGATCAAAAGCATACATTCCAATAAGGTTTGGAGGGGTAGGATTTGTGGATCTAAATGAGGTAGGGTGGTTATGGGGGGGGGGCTCCCGCAGAGTGGCTTTTGGCAGCAGAAGGGTAACTTTAGACCTTTCTAGTTTCTTGCTTTTGTGCATCCTGAAAGCAGGCACCGGGGAGGTAAATCGATAATTAGGGGGTTATTTAAAATAGAGATCTGTCATTTGACAGACTGCAACCTGTCGGTATCCACAAGCACAGTGAAAACTACCCCTAGCCCTTTGTCGCTGGGCGTGTGGGGGCTATTGAAGGTCTCTAGTTGACAGAGCCACTTGGGTTCAAGTTACATTGCCTGAAAGAAGGAAAGGTGTGTGGAATGCAGAGCAGCACATGTACAGGGATGTTAGCTCTGTTTTGAAATCCATCTAGAAATGACACCTCCTATTAGATGTTGCATTCTCTGCCCTAAAACCAAGCATCTGGAGGTCAACTTCGACTTCAGCTCACTTGGTTACACAAGTGCTGAGTGCTCAGAAACTCAGGGTCAAGTATCAAACCTAATAATAGCAAATGGAATTCTTTGTGTAAAGTGACTAAAAGTTACGGAACAGCACACAACCCTCCTAACAGGAGACTGGTATTTTAGAATGTGTTACAGATTTAAAACTCCTCCTACAATCATGCTAGCCGGTAATAAGTAGTTACTGAGTGCCTGCTGTGTTTACAGCTCTTGTACCAGACGTTGTCTGTATATGTCCGGTATGTGCTGATGAAATCTCAGGTATGTGCCTACTACCTGTTGCTGTGGCTGCACCCTCATCACTCTGCACACTGAGCTTCCATTTTTGTTCATTTTGTGTATCTTGTTCAAAATGAACAGATTTATCTGTGTATGATTAACATAGTGACTTAAGACCTTTATGTGCTACCTAAAATTGCAAGATTGACTGGCATTCCCATCTATAGGACCCTGGAAAAGGGACTGCATATTTAACACTACAGTAGATATCTTGATTGAGAAGATAAATATTTCAAAAAATTTTATCATAAAATGTTTCATTTTATTATTTATTATTTTATAATTATTTATTATTTCATTTTTTATCATAAAATGTTTCAGATACCAAAAAGCCCCCTACAGAAAGTAAAATATATAAAAGACACTCATATATCTACCACCCACATTGAAAACTTTGCCATATTTGCTTCCTATTATTTTTAAAGAAAGCATTAGTGATAGAGTCAAAGACTTGACCCTTCCCTCTTTCCTCCATCTTTCCCTCCTCAGAGTTAACCTCTATCCTATTCTAATTGCCCACGTTTTTATACTTTACAACTTATATACGGTTTGTTTTTAAAAATTGGCGTAAGGTGTGTACAGAAATGTTTGCAATTTACTATTTCATTCAACACTAAGATTTACCTACAAGTGATGCAAGTGAGGTAGGCCATTCCTGTGAATTATTGTTCAAATTCCATTGTATGAATATACCACTGTTCATGTCTCCAGTTCCCTTCAGAGAGGCATTTAAGTTGTTTGCAATATTTTACCATGATGCACAATACTAATATGAATGAACCAGCCATTCCTCCGGTCCCATTAACTCCACCGTCAAAATAATATATCTTAAAATCTGACCACTTCTCCTCCTCCCGCAATTACCCTGGTCCAAGCCATCATTTTCTCTTCCAGGAGGTTCCTAAGTGTCTCTCACTCTTGCTGCCCATTAGTTTATAGCTCATACAGCCCATGGAATCTGATTGGGTCGTGTCTTCATCAAAATCCATCATACCTGATATAAAATCCAAAGCTCTTCCCATGGCCATGTAATCTGGCCCGTCGCCCCCTCTTTCCCTAGTTCTCCATAGTCCAGTCCAGTCCAGATATTTGAATAAACTGGGCTTCTGTTAACTGCTTTAGAGCCAGCTGTTTGCTCTGCCTGACGCCAGCACTTCCTTCATCTTCCTATGGCTTCCTCCTTTCCTTTTAATTCGGGTTCCTAATCAGATAAAATCTCCTTTCCTGTTTCTATTATCTGAGTTAGTACCTCTTTCATTTCTTATCCCCTTACCCTGCTTTTTTCTTATCAGAAGTTATCAAATCTGAAGTTACCTTTCTGTTTACTCCCGTTTCTCTGCTACGAATGTCAACTCCTGGTGTCCCAGCTCTTAGAAGAGTGTCTGGTGCAAGAGGCGCTGGCAATCTTCACCTGAAGAAATAAATGAGAGAGCATTAGTACAGGACTCATTATGTCCCTTCTCCAGGACAGTAGCCTGGAAACTTTGTTGATGGTGAAGCACAATAAGAAATACACGTTTTATACAGCGGACACACAGATGGGAACCTCGAGTTTCAGGAAACAATACTTATACTCATTACTCATATTTGTTACTCTATTTCAGAAGGAAAGAAGAAAATATGCTAGTTGCAATCCACTAAACTGATTTCACAACTCACCAGTGGGTTCTAACTTGCAGCATGAAAAACTTTGTTTTAGGGTATATAGCTGAAAGTGGTTTTGCTCGGTTTTACTAAATATCCCTGAATGGCCCTCCAAAGTGAAAAATGTATACTAACAATATCACTGCAGGAATTTCCTCATCTCTTTACCAACACCTGGTCTTAAAAAGCTTTAAAATTTTTGCCTGTGAAACTGTTCTAATCTGTTCTAGTTTGCATTTTCTTGATTGTTAAAAAGACTGATAGATCAGCAGTCTCAACCATAAAAAAATATGTAAACTCTATTTTAGTGCCCCAGGGGGACTAAGAATTTTCAGAACTTATAGGCAAAGAGACTTAATCTAACCCTCCTTTATGAGGTTTACAATGACAAATTCTCATATATTTAATTTTAGTGGCACAAGAGTGTATTCCCAAGGATACAGTACTAACGACAATTTTAGTTCATTCACCATTCATGCCATCATCTGTTTACTCAACAAATATTTATTGAGGGCTCGCTACTGCCAGGAATTTCCCCAGACAGACCAACAACCTCTCCTGGCGCCTACCTTCCAGACGGTGAGTTTTTTGTCCCTCGTACTGTGGCAGAGTGACCGTGGCAAGGCGTGTTTCGGAAGAGCTCAAGGACTCCGATCCTTCCAGTTCTTCCAATCCACGTCCTCGTCCAAAAACTTGTTCACAAGTTTTTGTATTCAATACATCCGGAGAGGAACGCAGTGTGTTCACACATGCTCTTTCCCTGCAAAGGGATTCTGGAGGGGAAAGTTTTGAAGTAAGGAGAAAGCGAATGTTTTTCTGTCTAGCACTTGTTTTAAATGTAAGATTATAATTAGGGTCTTTTAAAGCAACCCAATTTAATTTACTTTTTCTTCTAAAAGCAACTTTTCCCCCATGCTCTCTGCAAAAAAAAAAAATTTAAATCGTCTTACTTTATTTCTTCGTGAAGTCAGCTTCGATTAAAAGGGCAATGAAAAAAATCTCACGTTCACTCTGATTTTGGTAATTCTAAATTTTGACGGAAAAAAATATCTCCAGATCACATTAATAGTCTTTAGCTTCTACCCCAACACAGTCTCTAGACTTTATTATCCCATAGATAAGTCTTAACTAACAGCAGCCCTTTCTTTCTAATTTAAAAACCACAAGTCTTATGTAAAACAACTCGGCTTTCCATTCCTTCTGGAAAGAAAGTTCAGGATTTAACTCATTTTATCTCTTCAGATAATGTTGCGGCTACCGGATAAGAGGTGCTACAACCGGGAACAGTGCCTACGCTGATAAAGGGTGCTTGATTAGTGCTTGATTCTTTAATTTTTATTTTTTTATTAACGTAAACTGTACGCCGCAGTGAAAGTGCTAAGTTCTCCATGACCCCCATCTTCACTTTGCCTCTTGCCTCTCCCAGCCCCGGAATTCATGCAAATCAGTCGGCTAACCCCGGGGCAATACGAACCATTTTCGCGCCATTCGCTCGGGACCGTGCAGCTACGTAAAGAGAGTGGTCCTGGAGCCCCCAAAGCCCCACTTCTCCAAGGCGGGCTGTAGAGACTGCAAGGCTTATCACTGGAATTCAGGGTATTCCGGGGGGGGTCCACTTTTTTCCTGGCGCCTGGCGGGCCTCGAGGGCGGGAAGGTCCTCACCGCAGCTGGCAGGACCTGCGCTCAGACGCGGGAAAGCCGGCCGCGCCCCGCCCCTTGGGCCA